CAAGGGTAAAGCGCTAACTGTGCTGTGATCAAGTTATTGAAAACTCAAGGACAACGTTCTATCCTTGACATTTTGACAGCTTCGCTTTTTAGGCAGATTCCCTTGATTTTTCAACTTTCAAATTCTTCTGGGTTTAAAACCTTGAAAAGTATGAGGTTTAGGGGAAAATGAATTTGAAGTTTAAATAGTTCTCTTCGGACGTATCCTTTGATGAACTTTCCGAATAACAAATTTATGCGGATATAAGCACGCCCTTTTTTTGAGCCTCTGAAATTGGAAAGAAAGGATTTTTATATTGGCGTATTTATGCAATTCGCGTTAACATGCGTATATATCAGGAAATATTCCTGTTAGTGCTTACAAAACGATTGAGCATTTCTTTTCTCCAGTTATTTTGGAATTGAAGTTAAAAAGATATACATTGGGAAATGGTCTGCTTTTAGCGCTTCAAGATGCATAAGTCATTGATTGAAGGAAAAGATCAAGGGTTGTGTGGAACCGTTTTTGCTTTCCTGGGAAAACCTGAATTTAGTCAGAAATCTCAGGTTCCAGGAAAGTAAGCAGGTGCTTTTATTCGCATATTATTGGAATGAAAATTTTTTGGGAGAAAAAATTCCCCCTACGAACATAAGGGCATTTATGCAATAAGGGCAGCCTTTCAAAAGCTTTCTTTTTACATCGCCTGCGAACATGTCATAGGGGCAGGGTTTTTACTAGCAACATAGTACAGGTAAACCCACTAGTTATTTTCACTGTTCCATTCCGCAGGTACTTGTGCTGCCTCAATAGTCGCTGTTGAAGAAGCGTGATGTGAGAAAATTTTAAAATTTTTTATTATGAAATTTCCGCCTGACGAAATGTCATTTTTTTCTGCAGGGCTGATCCGGCAGGAGCGCAGCCTTCCGGGGAAGGAGATGCCCCGGCGAGGAATCCGCAAAACGTTGCTGCTCAAAAGCGCTTACAACAGACGCATGCACAAGTTCAAGAAGTCGTTGACATCATGAAGGTCTTGCAACTTTTTCACAACCTCGCACTAGTCTTTGACAGTCTCGACCTACTAGCTCGACCACTCAATAACTTCGCAGAAATCTCACAGCAGTGTGTTATTTTTTCAGGGGGTTTTTTAACTACTTTTATTATTTCCCTCAACTTCAAGATGCAGAAAATAATTGTGCAGAAAAATACCACGTAGGATCTGATCTTCATATAAAGAAGTTCAAAAAACGAGCAACAAGAATAAGTCCTGTTATACCGTGCTCAGATTATGGGAAAAACGTCAAAAAGGAACAAAATCAGCTTGTTTTCAACTATGAATAAGTGTAATTTATCATGAAATGTATTTTGTGAATATTGACAGCTCAATTTAATCAAGATGTATCAAAATCTGATAAAATTGATTATTTTTTCATTTTTGGAAAATATTCGAATGTTTCCCTGCCTCGAAACATTTGTAGGATGTCGGGGCAAATTTTTCAAGTGTCGTTAGCATGTATTTCGGGGTTTCACTGTTCAGTAGAATATTGTTATAACGAAGTATTCGGGATCTTGATATGGCTTCTTTATAAACAAAAGTGATTTATGGCAAAATTAAAATAACATTTTTGTGTTCGGCGGAAACCAAAAAACCGAATTCGGTGCAAGCAATAATTCATCATAACGAGTTTCGTTGTAACAAGATGAAAATTGGGAATAAATGAAATTGGAAATTTGTTGATCTCCGGGCGTCCTCGTGAAGTTTTTTATTTGGATCAAATTATTCATATCGGAAGATTGAGGGTCCGAAAAAATAATTTTTCTGTACAGTATTTGGAAATAGTTTGGCACCAATTTTGTGGTTGAGTGTAATTATCGCATGAAAATTCTAATAAATTTTTTATTGAAATTTACAGATGCCCTGCAGCAAGGAGCTTCGCAATTTGAACAGTCCGCTGGAAAGCTGAAGAATAAATTTTGGCTTCAAAATATGAAGGTCAGTAGCCTGTATGTAGTGTAAATCTCCATATTTGCACTGCAATTATTCCTTTTATTTTATAGATGATGATTATGATGGGAGTAGTTGGACTCATCTTCGTCCTGATTCTCGGCTGTAAGTTGGTGATTCGTTCATTGAAATGCATGAATTCTTCTGATGGTTAAATCTTCTTTCTTTTTTAGACAAATTTATGTAATCGGGATTTTCTCGATCGATTGCTCGCCATTCGTATAATCACTTCTGGTGAGTTGCGGAAAACATAAAGGCGAGGCTGCACTTAGATTACTTCTCAGTAATAAAGGATTAACGACGGCTTCTTCCTTTCAAACTGTTGGCTCCATCGCAACGTAAAAACGGCTCAAAAGGAGAACCAACCATGATTATGAGCTATTCTCAATATTCGCTATTCCATGCGTGCGTCGGGAGAGATTGTGTCGAAATGAGGTTTTTTCTCTGCATTTAACTCAGCTTTATTCGCATATTTCAAGCTGTTCAAGAGCGTCTTTTGATTCGGGAGTTTTTTTTTTTTTCACGAGTATTTGGATTCTCCTTTTTTTTCCATGTTCATGGATGAAAATGCGTTCATATTCAGAAAAACGTTCCTTTGTAGTTGCACGAAGGTGCACAAAATGTGTTTTTTTTTTTTTTTTTCCTCGGTCAATCGAAGGAACAATTTTCGTCTTTCCGCTCAATTCAAGCCACAGTTAAAGTGATTTTGAGTTACCGTTGTGTGATGATTGCAGTGTTTACGTTGCGTTATTTCTGTGCATCAATTCGTGATGAATTGTTCCGCCAAATTTTTTCCGGCGTTTGACATAGTTTTCACTGTTTTAGGAGTTTTTTGCGGTCGATTAAATAATACGTGATATTGATGACCGACTTTCGGATGCTTCGTTTTCTTTCTTGAATGTCTGTTGCGGATTCTTTTACTATCAACGTATACAATACATTTTCGGCTTTCATTTCATGGTGACGGGTTTTTTTTTCAGCAGGATGAGTGAAGTTGTTGATACTGTTCCTGCTGAGAAAGCGGAGCTGTCGAAAGCAGAAGAAATCGATTACGACACTGAAACCAAAGATGGGGAAATCGCGGTGAAGATCATCTGCTTGGGCGACAGTGCTGTGGGAAAATCCAAGTAAACTTACGCATTTTTGGAATGGCTTTCACGGAAATGTCCCCGATTTTATTTACACCCTTTGAAAATAAACGATGCTTGTTTCAGTCAATTCAGAATTACGTGCGAGGAGAATTCCGTTATACTGGCGAACTGAAAAGTTTTGTACATTTTCTGGTAACTAAATTCTGGTTTTTTACATAAGTTTGTTATAACGGAATCTCTCCTGAACCAGCGATTCGTTTGCTTTCACGAATTTATCAAAAGCACAGCATGCAGAAAAAAAAAATCACGTCGCTCGCTTGAAGGCATTTCACTTTTTTGCGTTGATGGCTTTTGCCAACCACTCGAAGCCGTCGATCAAACCTTCACCTCTAGCTGCACAAGTTGCTTGAACAAACCAGTCTCGGTTTCGCAGGGATCTCAGGTTCAGTGCTTCCGTTATGGCTGAAATGCTTTTTGCGTTCGGTAGGTCCTGTTTGTTTGCCAAAATGAGTAAAACGGCGTCTTGGGGTAATTCGTCGGATCGGAGCACGTCGTGCAATTCTTCCGCTGCTTCGGCCAGTCGCTCCGCGTCGTTCGAGTCGATGACATAGATGACGGCCTGATGGAAATTCAAAAGATTCATGTACAGAATTTTGAAGTTGTATGCTAGCAATTCTCTACAAGTCTACAACGATATAATAGTGCAGTGTACTGTATCCTGATTATCCAAAACTGTGGCGATAGATCGGCTATTTTTGACGAAGATAATTTTCATTCAGATGAACTGCGTATCGAATAGAATTTTAACGATTTGTGCCAGTGAGAAATTGATTGAATTAAGGAGTGTACTTTTAAAAGTTTTTTAAAAATTCGTAAGGGAATGAAGGCACTTCAAGTATGACGGACTTTATGAAGCCAGCTTTTCCGAAGTCTGCCAAGGGTATTTCCTTCTGATGAATCAAACTTCTAGCACATCTGATTGGAGCTGAGATAATTTGAGTTCTACTGTTGAATCGCCGAGGCGAGAACACATTTTTCTTCGGAAAAATCAGGAAAACGATCTTTTTTTTAAACAGCGACTTCTGAATGTTCGAAAGATTTAGAAGAATTAGTTTGACATGCAAAATTCACGAATGAAATGTAAATAAAGTACGTAATCCGGTACTTGGATGGATTTCGAAGTCTGATCGAAGATGGATTTAAAGAATGGAACAACTTTCACGCAGAATAATTTAGTTGTTGCTGTAGTGACGTACCGTATCTTGATACTGTGCGATAGCCATTGAATTACTGTAGACATCATTAAAAGGATAATTAATGGACCTCTTATTTATACCGTCATTCGAGATTTTTTTTTTATTAGCTGCTTCAATCACTTCAGAAAATTTACTCTTCGAATTTTTGCTTTTTACTTCAACCAATTTCTCCGCTAAAAAAATTTATCCTTGTATTAATCTCGCTTGTGTTTATTGAAAACCCCTATAGATTCTGTCGCATAAAAATTTTATTTGAAGTCTTGAAATGCCGATGTTTCGCTAAATATTTGCGTGAAAATCATACCTGTGTATTTTGGTAATAATGGCGCCAAAGAGCTCGTATGGTTTTCTGTCCTCCAACGTCCCAAATCGTCATGTTCAGGTTTTTGTAATCAATGCATTCGACGTTGAAACCAATTGTCGGGATGGACGTGACCAGTTCATTCAACTTCATTTTGTACAGAATCGTTGTTTTACCTGAAGAAACGAATAAAATAAATATCAAAAATAAGGATTTGCGGTAACGGATAACAAAAAATTCGCCGATTCATTTGAATAACTCACCAGCATTGTCCAGACCGATCATCAAAATCCGGCAGGGTTTCTTAAACGAGCTGAAAATTATTTCCCAAACACGACTCATGACCAGACCCATTTTGAGCGACAATATGTGACGTTTTAAAAATGTTCCAAGGATTGAAGAGTCAACTTTTTTTTCACGTTCTTTGGTTTTGTTTTCAGTTTCTGCACTGGCTTTGAATACCTGCTTGGAGCGTCGGAGGGCTCTTAATATACCTTGGATGTGAATCATTGTGCATGTGCCAGCGTGTAGCTTTTTGCAGTGGCCCGGGTACAGCAACCTTACAGGCAGCACAAAGCGTGCAAAACCCAACGGGTGTTATTCGCTATTCCAACAGGACCCACTCAGTACTCCCCAGGGAAACAGGGTCGTACCCAAACTAAACAATAACAAAAAAAAAAAGCGAAGTCCGCGTAAACGTGACTCATGCATATTTTGTTGAAGACACGTGGAACTCTTTTGTTGTGAAATAACTGATGCAATGAACGTCATTTCCAGTGGGTTGGAAAATTGGGAATAATTTACTCGAAGGATTAAAAAATGTTTCAGCGATTTTTGGATTTTAAAAGTGTACAGAAAGATACAGTAATGTAGTTATGTCGAAATTACGGCGAAAATTAAGACTCGAGTGAAGCTCCATAAGTTTTTTTTTTTACTATTATTTGACCTGGTGGGTTTCCAAAAAAAATGTACTTCGGTGAGGAGATTATATTAATTTTTTCTTGTATAGAATTTTTTTTATTGTGAGTGAAATACTCAAAGAAGAGAATAGCAATTTGCGATGTAGGCTAAAAAAAACGATTTGAATTCATCGAAAAATTCCGAAGCAAATTTATTCTCAATATTTTGAATAAATCAGAACCCGAAAATCGACATTTGCTCATGTTTTGCGCACTAGAAATTAGAGGCAAATAAACTTTGAGTTGACTTCTGTTTTTTGAAATGAAATTTATTGCAAATATACATTATTTAAGATTTATCATAGCCCTAGTATGTTTTAGTTTCGGGACACCCTGTAGTTTGACCCCGTTCCGAATTTGAAGTCTTGCTTCCTTCTCAGTGTAATTGAAGCCTCGTATTTTGTAATTTGATACGCGAAGTTTATTCGCGTTCTTTTATAAATATTTCCCCGTGATTGCGTTAATCAATTTGATTTGTCTTTTGTTTCAAGGCTGGTTGAGCGATACTTGATGGATGGCTTCCAGCCGCAACAACTTTCAACTTACGCCTTGACGTTATATCGCCACAGAACCGTTGTGGATGGAGAAAAAGTTCTGATTGGTGAGCTAAGTGTTTGTTACTGTGTCTAATATAGACTGTGAGATCCCCTTTTTCACAAAATGTGATTATTTAAATATGGTGTCCCGACATTTCCTGGTGAATTATTCGTGATTCTTCATTATCAACTCACGACTTTGTGTGAATTATATTGGAAGAAGTCTTTGCCTTTTTAGATTGTAAATGAAGCATGAATGCTTGATTAGAAATTTAGAATTGACGGACTTGCCTGATTTTCGAGAAAATGGGCTTAGAATGACTGATGAAAATGCTCATATTTTGCGGACACAATTTTGTATGTGATTCACGAAAGTGCAGGTGCGTCTTTCAATTGCTTCTTATATCTAAGTAAATTTGCGTCTTTTGCTATTAAATAATACCGTATCAATACCTATAAATCAACCCTGGTATTTGAGTATAGGCCAAACTTATTATTTCAAGTCAATTATCAAACTGTATTTATGTGATCGGATTAACTTTCCCGTTTGAGTTACAAAATCGGAATCAACGTTTTTCTTCCGCAAATTTTTGGTTGTTCAACTGTTCTTTGTTCTCATCACGCCATTCCCCATTTTTGAAACATTTGATGAAAGGCATTTGACTCAGTCTTGCGTATGTTTTGTGTAACAGTTTCCCTTCATGGCGGCCTATATATACTGACATGGTTGCTACAGGGCTTTTAGTAATTATACCCAATTAGATGCGTTGCATTTTTAAAAAAGAGACTTTCTTTTTGTTAGATTTTTGGGATACGGCTGGACAGGAAATATTCCAGTCGATGCACGCGTCGTACTATTATCAGGCGCATGCGTGTATCCTTGTGTTTGATGCGACGCGGAAAGTGACTTATAAAAATTTGACCAACTGGTACCAGGAAATGCGACAATACCGTCCTGAAATACCGTGCGTTTGTGCCGTGAACAAAATCGACAGTAAGTTTTCTCTGGATTGATTCATTATTGATCACTCACGCGGTATTAATGAAAGCTTGCGTGTTTTGTTGATGCAGCGAACATGGAAGTAACGGAAAAAACGTTCAACTTCACCGAAAAGCACAAGGTTCCCATGTACTACGTTTCTGCGTCGAATGGAACAAATGTTGTGAAGGTTTGAATCGACTTTTTTGCATTTTCGTGTTCTTGTAATGCTCAGAAAAATCTGTTGTCTTTCTGGTGCACTTCTGCAGTGCGAAGTCCAAATCAGAATTATCATATGAGCTGAAGTTTAAAATAAAGTAATTTAATCATCTGAATTATTATGAAGAAGTTCAGTTCGTTTCAAGTTGTTGTAAAAAATTTGTCAGAGATATGGTTGACAGTACATCTACTCTGAAAAAATATCTCCATCCAACAGGATTTCAGCAATCGAAGCAAATGATTCATTTTAAATGGCATGAACCAATTCTCTTCTCATGTGCCCCCATTTTTTTATATGTAGCTTGATGATAACGGGAGTTTTCTTACAGTTGTTTACAGACGCGATCTCGATGGCAATGAAGTACAAGAAGAATCCGACGGACTTCACTGATCTTGTTCTGGACGAATTGGAACGTGACGAGAATTAGGCCGTCTAGAAATTTATCTGATGAAATTATCCGTCCATGTATCTCGTGTGTGTTCCAAAGTGCACTGATACTTAGCCAAAATAAAATCACTTTTTGACAATTATCCTTGATATCAATCCATTTCCAAGACATCAGAGGGAGACGAGGGAAAAATAATAAAACATTTCGAAAATAACTTCCTCATACACGGCAACACATCATTCCACCCAGAACACAAAATAGTTAAGTTCCAATCTTCTTTGTTCGACAATCTGCGCGCACATTTCACATTGATATGATTGCCTCCACAGATTTTTCCTGCAAAAAAAGTTGTACATTTTCGCAATAGCCAAGTTTCGCATTGGAAGACGTTCGCATCACTCTCACGATTCCAGCAACACGTGGAAAATCAAATATAGATGAAGTTGAAAATTTTTGAAAAATATAGAATCTTCGCAAGCAAAGTGAACACGCACTCGATTAACGTGAAATGATACGTATACTCACCTTGCAATCACATGGATGTGACGCCAAAAAAAAAAACCAAGGCTAACTCAATCATTTGCCTGCCACTAAGAAATACATCACTAATCGTGGTCCCTCTGTCTGAAAAACCCACGGTAGAATAAAATACTTGGCAAGAGCTGCGAAGCGTCGCTCCCTTGAATTTTCACTAGGTTGAGTAACTTCGAACAATTCTTCGGAAACTTGGCTCGAACACACGAGGAAAACGAAATTAAATTTCTTTACCCACGCTTTGGGGAACAATCCGTAACAGAACAAGCCCATCCAAATTTTTGTACCTTCAGCTTGCTGCCACTTCCTCCATCCCTGATTCGATAAACCAATAACCTAACCAAAACGCATTTAAAAACTGTGAGAGAGTATTTTTTTCTTCCAAGTCCTCAAACTCCAAAATTACCTGCGGAGCATTGGGAAAATCAAAATGTTGGTAACCTTTTTTTAAATTGTTGGCATCAAATAATGGGATCATCTTTATTTTCTGTAAATCTTCAGAACTTAGCCTCCTCATTTGCAGCATTAGACCTCTTATTTGCATTGTTAAGTTTGAATATTTTAGAGAAGTTCCTGCCAGTTATTCCTCCGTTGTAAATCATATGAAATACTGTTTAACTGTTGTATTCCCTCAATTTTTAACATCAGGACATTTGTACATTGACAGAGATTTCAAAAATTGATAATTGACGAAATACTTTCTGAACTGGTCCAAATTCCATATTTTAATTAGTCTGAGGACTTTTGAAAAAAATGGCCCTTTAGATCATCACGGAATTCCATAAAATTGATCCGCCCAGAAAATGGACAAGCAGCTGAAGCACAGAAACCCACACACGTCGCTTTGAACGGCTTTTCCCTTCACGTTTAAAACGTTTTCGTTTCCAAAAATATTCACAGCATCGTGACATGACATTATGACATACAATGATGAACGCAAACCCGCACACAAAAATTGAAATAAAACAGGTTTTTTTTTCTTCTTCTTCACGCCGGCGCTCCCACATCATGGGCCAAGGCTGCCCTAATAGCCCGCAATCGGTCTTCCAACTCACAGAGGATCCCCTTCAGCCTCTGGTTCTCCACGTCTAGGTTGTTCAAGTGGTCCACCTGGATCTGGGCCCGTTGTTTCCGATTAGCCCGACACTTTTGCGACGAAATGTTGTTCTTCCGTCGCATTTCCGCGTAACGCTCAGTGTCCTTGGGAACCAGTCGTCGCTTTTTGCGCTTTGAGAGGCGGGACTCGAGCGCCGCCGCAGCAGCAGCCGCCTCGCCGCCCACGAGGAATGCTTGAAGGATTTTGGCGTTCCGACCGCCAGTTGCCGACAACACGGTCGACGTCATTTCCGCAAACACTGCCTTCACGTCGGGACTGTCATTGGAGCCATTGCCGCCACTGCCGTCGATTGATGATGACGATGAGGAGGATGAACACGACGGCGTGTTGGGCGACGGGATTCCGATGCCGATGCCGCCGCCGCCCATGGTTTTGAGAGTTTGTAGAGGAGGCGCCGCGTCGCCTGCGATTGGCGACCACGAGTTGCTGCACAATGGCATTGCGAGGTTTGCATTTGTGACTGCTTCGACTCCCGAATGCATCGAGAAAAATCCATGGCGCTGAAACAAGCAATTGAATCCATTTTCAAACATCAATCAACTTTTTTTTTCAACAAGAAAGCAGGAAGTGAAAATCCCAAAAATTTTAAAAAATTGCAGCTCCAGTCAGAATGAGGGGATTTCACTTGGTGCAACAACAACAAAAAAACCCATTGTAGTCCAGGATGAAAAATGGGACAACATTTAGAAAAATTGAGTCTTTTTCAAGGGGCAGGATAAAAAGCTAAACATTTCAGCTTAAAATTACTTATTGTGGCTTTCTCTCTCTCAAAAGAAAACTCAGTCACTCAACAATTATTTAAACCAGGTTATTTTTACCAATAATATAAGCACTGAACTAAACCTTCATCTCTTACAATACTCTTGATTTGGTACCATCCTTGCTTAACATCACAAAATGTGCCAGGAAAACTGGTGGCACTAAATGGATGTATGAATGTACAGTACTGTATACAGGTGGACATTCTCTGCAACAACATTCACAAAATCATTTAAACAATAATTTCAAGAGGGAATCTCGTTGTAGAGAACCGCATGGGGCCCAACAAAAATTCACTCTACAGAGAAAATCGTAGCAGACATGATTGTTGTACATGCAGAGAGAGTCCACCTCTGTGTAAAAAATTTGAGAGAGTATATCGAACGGTTCTGCCCACAGAGTGTTGCTCCCGACTCCTACACCGGCTCTTCTGTAGAAAACCCGCATGTTTTTCTTCATTCCTGCTTGTCCCTCGCGTCGCGTATAACGTTAACTCAAACAATAAGAAAAAATATACCTTCTCCTCCTCTTCCCCCCCACACACACACACTTTTCCACAGGCCCTGTCACTGTTTTTGGTCTTCTGATGGATTGTAAATGCCAGAACATATTCCCAGCAAACCGAGAGGGCACTCTTTTATGCATGCCCCACTCGACCGATGTTTCCCAAATCTGATTGCTTTTCCTACTGCTTATCCCGAAGGAGATTTTTTTTTTTTTTACGTGAGTAAAGTACTGTTCTCTTCTGTTTGCATATTGAGCGGATGTGTTGTGACACGTATTCCAATTGCTTATATTGGAGGGAAGAGCAGATTATCTTTTCTTCGCCATTTTCACTTGAAGGGAAACACGATTTTCTGCTTATTTTACAGCTGAACCTCTTCACGTCGAACTTCATAAGGGATCGTAAAAAAAATCGAGTAAGGGAAAATTTTTTATTTATTTTATATTAATTGATTATTGGCCTTGGATTGTTTTTTAAATGCGTTGACAGGATGCTGAACTCCGAGACAAGGGTTTATTATTCCTATTAGTCTTTTACTTTCTTTCAAAGCAAAAATCCAAGTTATTTTAAATTGATTTTTTTCTTTCCTGTGTCAATGATTTAATTGCCCAAAAGCCTCCAGAAAATTCAAGTTACGGAGGTTTGATGTGGAAAGCCTTCGAATTGGGTAGGGTTTTTAATGCATCGTTTCTGAATAAATTCAGATAGGGACTTGAAAAGAAAATTCAACACAGGGAAGTATCGTATTTGACTCTGGGGTGTTTGAGTTATGGGAAGTTAAACTAGAATTTTATTCCGTAGGTTTTCTCTCAACCGCTGAAAAAAAATAAAGTTTCGTAATTCGAGAAACAAATTACCTGTCAGCAGATGTTCGCGAACTCTATTCCAAAAAATGTTTAGAAGATTATTTTTCTTAAACTTTACGAGCAAGAAATTCTCCGTTTGCGCATTTTGGTGCAAAAATACTCCATGAAAAAATAAAAATGGGAATATTAATAAATGATGCCGACGAATCCGAGCCAATGATTGTCAAGCATTTTGACCTTATTCGCGAAGGATTTTTGAAGTGAATCACCTTGAAAGTCTACCAAATGAATTCCTAAAATACAGTAACTGAAGCGAACGCCTCATAACTTCAACAAACGACGATAAAACCCTTCAACAAAGAAATGATTAGAATTCCCCGTAATGACCACAAATTGATCTCCGACTCTTCAATTCGTATACCGTAAAAAGTGTAGGGTTTCTCTCGTCTTAATAAACTGAAATTGTCACGAAGAAAACCCATTTTAAAAACTTACATGGGATTTTTTTTCGGGTTAACGTCCGATAGGCACAGGCATCCATATATACAATCGCTCGATCCTGACGCCATAATGAGAAAGTGAATAAAATCGTGACTACGCATTTCCGGAACTGAGTCTGAGTTATGCTGCACATACAAAGTTCATTTCAAAAGTTTCAATCATCTATTAAAGCGCAGGGTTCATATTAGGAATAGTTGAAAAATTCTGAAATGATTTGTTAATATAAATGTTCAAATATGGACCAAGAGAAAAATGGAGGATGTACTATCATCATGATGTTTCGCCATTTTTGCATGGATTTATAAAATCATGCACATTTTGGCACAAGACCTGCTGTGAAACCTGGATTGCAAATCTTAGAAATGTTACACTATACAGTGGACCCTTGGTTAATAAGCTTGATGGGTTCCAGACAAAAGTTTGTCAACCAAATTCAATTTTCCCAGACTTAAATGAGGAAAAAATTTAATCATTTTCATCAACCCAAAATACAATGCAACATTGAAAAAAATCCAAGACCATCAACTATAATCAGAATAAGTTATTGCTAAATCTCACCATATCTGAGAGCGTTTTTACAGTCTTATAAGGAAGTACCACTCATGAAAACAATAAAAAAAGCTTCAAATTCAGGGAAATACACACTGAAGGATACATGTCAGGGGTGAAAAAGAAATTCTTTTTTTTTTGCTGCAACTAAACATCAAATCGACATTTCTAACAATTGAAAAAATAGAAAAACCAAGCACAGAAAAGCAAATAATTTTGTCACAAAAAAGCATGCATGATTAATGCAGCTGAAATACGTTTTAAGACACAAGATTACACATATTTGAGTGCCAGAAAAGAATAATTATCACATCAGTGCATTGGTGAATGAATTGCACTTGAGATTGTACCATAAATTTCAGCCTTGAAAT